TCAAACCGTCGTTCGATTTCCGCGCGACTGCCCATCATGCACAGACCAATGTGGATTTCAATTATCGTTTGTTGGCAATACTAACTGACCAAATTTCGATGATTAACTGTATGGATTTTGGTTTGCGCATGTGCAGTGTTCATGTTGTGATTTTTTTTTTTGTACGAAAAAGGCCCCTAATCCATCGATTTTCAAACGATTCAAAAAAGTTTTCTAGCCTTCCCAGTAGACGAAATTCGTCCTGTTGTACAGTAATTCTGATCATTAACTTCCCATCAACTGGCCGATTATCGAACGGAAACACGATTTTCGTTTGGAAATCGAACGATAATTGCAAGGTGTATGGGCACCTTCTACCTTGCTCCACAACACCAGACACAATTGCATCTTCCCTTGTGAGGTGGCAAGTGGGAAAATAGCCTGTGTATAGGAGAAGGAAGGCTAGATTTGGGCCCCCTGGACATTCTCATGAACCTAAGTTCCCCTGTGTATTATCCAGCTCTGCAAAGGAAACGTCAGGTGTCTAATAAAGAGAATCTGTTAACACTTAAGTATGCTCTTTGGCCCCTCTGTGCTAGGCAAAAAAAACAGGTTCACTTTAATGCTGGCTCTGCATATATTCATCTTCCCCCATGGATCCATTTGCCCACCATAACAAAGAGGAAAAATCCCTGTGTATTCTCCAAATCACTCTGGTTGAAGCTTGCATAGAGTTGAGGACTTGGATGCCTGAGCAGCCAAGCACCAGCACTAATACCTGCAAAGAAGGGGAGCGTGTCACAAACCGGGAAGGACTTTGGTATGTCGCTTTTACTTTCTGTTCCATTTTAGCTGCTGGAGAGTAAAGGTAATTCTAGTATATGCAACGGGGGGGAAAAAGTGTTAGTAAACCCTAACAATGATTTCTCATTTAGTCCCCTTTTGTCTGTTAAATAAAGTTGAAAATGTTTTGTTTTATCTGTTCCATAGGTGCAAAAAATACCTGTTGATCCTGCTAGAAATCTTGTTATCTCATAAGTTTCTGTATTCTCTGTTGCTGCTGACTGCTATTAATTATCAATGTTCCAGCACTCTGAGGACTACAGAACACCCCACTGTGTTATGGAGAAGAAGAGAAACAGGTGCCCTGTCCTAGGGTGACAACTTCTGCTCCATAGATACAGTACAGTGGGTGTTGTCACCTAGGACAGGCAGTGTGTTACAGGCAAGATAACCAGGTGAAAATAGGAAAAGGAGTTAGGAGCTTGCTTTGTTTGGGGGGGTGGGGTGGGGGCTCAAATTAAGCTGTATTACTCACCTGATCTTCAATGCCGCTGGCTCCAGCATGGCTAGCCTCTTCTCCCCTGGGCTCTGGTGGTCTCAGGACTGCTGACATCATCACATCTAATGCAGGTCCATTGACCTGCAATAGATATGAGGATGCCTAGCGACATTCCATAGCTGGAGTGGAGGGGAGAGGCGAGCACTGAATGCCACAGGACCAAGGGTCAGGTGAGTAATACAGCTTTATCTGAACCCCCTAGGCAAAACAAGCAGTTAACCCTTGCAGTTAACCCTTTTTCCTTTCCCTGGAGTTCTTCTTTAAATAAGTAAACCTGTTGGCTTTGCTTTACATTATAAAGGTTTGTTAAAAACTAGGGATGCACTAGGGATTGGAGTACCAATATTTATATTTCGGCTCTCGCCGATACGGAGTACCGATACCGGAAAACATCTGCTGGCATGGAGCCAGCTTCACAGGCAATTAGCATCGAGCCAGCTTCCCGGCCAATCAAGAAGCTGGGTGGCAAGTCATTACCCACCATCTGGCTTCCTGATTGGCTGGGAAGCTGGCTCCATGTTCCCTCGTAGCACTGCCAATCAAAGGAAATCTCCTTCTGACTAGAAGTTGCGGTATCAGGGGTAAGTATCGGAGCATTTGGGCAAGTATACGGTAAGTACTCGTCCAAATACTCGGTATCGGCACCGATACTAGAATTGGTATCCGTGCATCCCTATTAAAAACAATAAAACAAAATTATAATTTTAAAAAAATCATATACATGTAATACATGATAACACACAACTTCATATTCTCTACCCCCCCTTTCTCCAGCCAAAATAATTTCTCCTCTGTACCCCCCACCATGCTGCAACACCTCCACTTCCTCTTTCCTCAGTCCCCAATCACATCATACTCTTCTTCATACTTCTTCCCCAATCCATAATAATTTCCGGTCTGCTTTCTCTCTCCCAGTCCTTGAACAGCTCACGTTTTACCTCTTCTCTCTTTCTGTCTGTGGTCTGCTTCTGCATGGTGAGTTGCAGCTCTTCTCTCCCCTCCACATACAGCCGTGATCTTCTCCAATCACCAGTTTCTGTTCTGCCTCCTGTACCCCATCAATCAGCTGTCATTCTTCCTCTTCTTTTTTCCCCCTCCACAATACAGTACATTAATCTATTCATTATTAGGTACATTTGTGCTACCTTAAAATAATGGAAAGATGTATAGTTTTGTGACTTTAGCATTTTTATTTGCTTGTCATGGAATAGTATCACATTTATATTTCCTATGCCGGATTGTAAAATGTTCCTCTAGTATCTGTCTATATTTTTCTGTATTCAGCCAGCCTTCTTGTTTGAGTCAGACGTGATTGGTGGAATTGTAGTGTGAGAGCTGAACAGTTAAACAGGCCAACGATAAGGAGATGGTCAATGCCCAATCAGGGCAATTTTGGTTGGATTGGGTGGCAGTTGTACATCTATGGCATCCGTAGATTTCCCCCAATGACTTTTCCTGGGTGAGGGGGTAGAATTGACTATACAAGTTTACAAAATTGTTAAATTGCAAATGTTCCCCCAAGATGAGCTAAAATCTGACAAGGTGGCTCCTCCCCTTCCTGCCTCTATAGCACTGACATGTAACCCAGGGAAGAGCAAACATACATGTATATGCAGAAACTCAAGCAGAAAATCTGTCCTAATGTCCAGATTGTGTCTACTTATACAATGGGATCATCTGGGGTCTGTGGCACAACCATACAACCACCAAGTATATGTGATACACAAATATGGCTTGTACCCTGTACATATAGAAGGTATTAAAACATTGCATTACACATTGGCAAAATTATTTTCCCATTTGTATCTTAAAATAATATAGCAAAGACTAGTGTTTCTGTAATGAATGTCTTTGACTATCCTTAACACAAACCTGTTCTTTACACTTGCAGAGCAAAGTAACCAATTTACTTTAATCCGCAACTTGCCATCTTCACATACTCACCATTCCTTTGCTCCTCTGTTCTACCGCTGGGAGTAAGGAAAGGAAGCACTATATATATATTCCTAGTTGCTTTGCTTTAGTTGGAGCTTACAGAAGACTGAGGACCTTCTCCCTGTCCCCAGGTGACAGTGCTGTCGCATAAGAGGAATAAGTCATTTGTTCCTCCATACCTAGAAGTACCAGGTATTCTATTTCTCCTAACAGCAGAACAGAGCCGTGATGAGCGAAGAAAAGGTGCTGCTCGAGAGGGGGCCATTAAAGCAAACCTTTAGTTAAAGTCCATTTCCACCTTTGTAAATGATTAGCATTTATTGTGGTAATAAAGAGGTGCAATGATGATGTCTATGTGTGCACATTTTCATGGCGCACATTGCAGGTTTTCTTCCTTTATTTTGGAAGTTTTATTAGGCCTGAAGCCTAAAAATTCTAAATATTCTCCACAGGAAAATCAGCCTGACACAGGGTGTCGGACTGTAATCAGCTGCCCCCCTCCCTGTCACCCATTGTAACAGGATCAATAAACAGCAGCTCTACCTTTACACACAATACACTATCCATACTGGAGGGGAGGGAAATACACACATTTCTTGCACAGCACACATTTCAGAGGCAGAAAGTTCCATGCAGACATGAAGAGGAAAGCTAACAAAAAATGTAAGTTTCTGCATCAGCTGCATATGCCTGCTTCATGTACACTTAGTGTACATTGTTGGCATGTTTTTAAAAAAATACCTCTTCAAAAGGTGGAAATGGACTCTGTGTGCACTATGTAAGTAGTTCCAAGGTCTGGGCTCTGTCCCACCCTTCTTAAACTGCTGGTTCATAATTATGATGGCCAACCTCACTAGCA